ACATATGATCGTGATGCAGAAATTGAGAATTTACTTGGAGTAGTTGAGAATGCAATAAATTGATTTCTCTAGACAATGAAGAAAGATTACAAAAGCTTTATAGTTTTGGAGATGGTGAGACTTTGGAACAGAGAGTAAGTTATTGTAATAAATAAGGCTCTGAATGAATCAAATCAAATCAAATTTGAGAGTGATTTGATTTGATTTGATTTGATTCGATCTGTAGTCAATTTGATTTGATTTGAATTCAAAAAACAGGATTCGATTTAATTTGATTTGAATCAAACTGGATTCCTAAAATTTTTTTAACGTCATATTGATAATTTAAATTTATATTACACAGTGAATCTCAATTAGTGTGCCTCCATTTAATGAATACTAATAAATTGAGGTCTAAGAATGGTTTAATGATAATAAAATTCTTCTTGATATGTTATTTATTCAAATTTTTAATAATTACAGATTTCTTGATATTAATATTAATACAATGAAAATTTTCAACACCCGATTAACCAGATAATCGGTGAATAATCGATGAATATCATTCGGCGGATACAACCACTAATCAAATATCAATTCGTGTAACCATTTTAATTTTCAAATAGTGCGTCATTAATTTGACATGATCAACGATCAGGGGAAATATGTAAAAAATAAATTAGCAGTAATGACACACAAAATTGAATAATTTGAAGTTTTAAGACCAACTGGTATTGATGCAAATTATTCGGGGTCTACTTCATTCCCAAATATATAAACTGTAGAATCAGAATTAAATGATGAAACATTTCCATTAGAGTTGTCAGATTTTGCAAGAATTAAATAATAAAATGTTTGACTATCAAGGCTTATTCTATCAATTGGGTGACATTATCAAAATTTGAAAATTATTTTTTTTTATAATGAAGAAATATTTAATAGTTTAAAATTAATTGATTTGATTTTAACTTTTGAAAGAAAAAGTTGAAATTAATTTTACACACCAATCAATTATCTCTTAATTCCATTTAATAAAAAAATGGCAACATCAAACATACCATCTTTCTTTCACCATTGGAAAGCTATTTACTGTTGATGGCACTTGAATAATTCGGTAAACTGATTCATTATGGCATATAAAGTATGGAGATTGTTACAAGTTATTATGTATATATATTTGATTTGTAAATTATGGGTATATCAAATATGAAGAGTGTACTGATGTTGGCATCACTTGAGATCATTTTTTTACATGGTTGTCTTGAATCAATCATCATTGACTTGAAATAAGGTTATTTAAATTGATGAAAAAGTATATTTAAATGAAAAAGAAAATTATAATGAAAATCATGCAAATTTTGTATATGATTTACTGCAAGTTTTATAACAGCAGTAAAATAGTTTTTTAAAAAAATAAAAAAAATAAATATAAACAATTAATTTATAATCTATTTATTTTGAAATAATTATCATTAATATAAAAACTTTTTTCATCCTTTTCACTCTAATTAATTGTATGTCATGTATCTAATTGAAAGAAAAAATTAGTAATTTATAAATTAACTTTAAAAAAATAAGTAAATCATTAAAAAAAAGGTACCTTGGTGTAGAAGAGAATTTTGCATAAGACTATAATGTAAAATAGAATATTAGAAAAATGGTAATTTTGAAATTATATAACAAAAAATTTCATTCATTCATTCATCCATACACACCTTAATAACTTTATTAACAGATTCTAAGAAATCCTTTTCTGATGCAACCTGTATATAAATATATTTATGTGTGTGTGTGTGTGTGTGTGTGTGTGTATATGTGTATGTATTATTATTTAATAATAACAAACAAGCATAATTGAATAAATAAAAAATAAAACATTATAATAAACTTAACCTTTCTCCTGGAACGAATAGCAAACATTCCTGCTTCTGTACACACACTTCTTAATTCAGCACCTATTTATAAGATATATATATATATATAAGTTAAATAATGTATTCAATTTTTGTTTATTAATCAATCAGTTCAATATACTTACCAGTACTGTTTGGACAAAGTCTAGCTATAAGCTCATAACGAATATCACGTTCTACAGACATACTGCATTAACGTGTATAATAAAAATAAAAATATTATTGTTATATATAAAAAAATTCAAAGACTAAAAATTATTTTTTTTGAAAAAAATACCTTTTTGCATGAATCTTTAAAATATGTGTACGACCCACTGTGATATATCTAAAATCGAAGTATGTCGAATATTAAAGAAAAATTAAAAGAAGTTTCTGACAAAGTTCAAGGGAGACCTTTGAATAAAGAAGAAACTAATGAAGTTATAAGGAGACCAAATTATGGGATTAAAGGTCGTGAAACAGAAGTATATGCAAATTATTTTGAAGTAAAAAAGGTATAAAGATATTGTTTTTTTTACTTGAAATATAAAAATACTTAACATTTTTCTTTGAACTTTATTAATGCGTACATAATAATAATCATATTAGATTGCAGAAAAACCGTATTTAGAAAGATATAATATCACTATAGAAACAGTTTTACGAAAAAGAAATAATAATAATGTTGATAATGATCATGATGATAACACGAATGAAAATCAAACAAGAAGTCCTAAAAAACCATTTCCGGACACTTTACGCGCCGTCTTCCAAAAATTAGAAGAACAAGAACGTGATGGATGGTTTTCAGGAATTGGCGTTGTTTATGATTGTAAAGACCATCATCATCATTCTTATTATTAGTTTATCGATTCACAAAAATTAATTTAATATTATTTTTTAGGTACCTCAACACTTTACACAACTGAATCATTAAATCTTGGATCCGAAAATAAATTTGCTACTACATTGGTTAGATATTTAACAATTGATTTTTTTAAAATTATTATATATGATTTTTACTAAAGAATAAATATGCAAAAAATTGACCAGGTTATTTTGAAAGAAGAAGGCCAGGATGGTGAAGAGCAAAATAATAAATTCAATGAAACTGAATATATAGTTAAAGTTTGTAAACTTCAACGTGTCAATCTCGAAGATCTTGAAAAAAACTTCGCAGGAAATAATATGGATTGGAACTATTTTGATTTAGGTAGATGAGAAAATAAATATTACATGATTTAATTTGATATAAATAATAATAATAAATATTTATTTGCTTGTTTATTTAGCCGGAATAGACGGAATTAATGCATTAATTCACCATATTCCTTCAATGAAATATGTACGAATTGATGAATCGATTTTTTTACCATCTACTCGGAGAAGTTTAGGAGGTGGTGCAGAGATATGGATGGGTTGGTTTGAGAGTTTTAGACCTGGACAAGGTGAACTATTATTATTGATTTTTGGGTATTTTCTTATTTATTTAATTAATAATAATTATTATTATAATTTAATCTAGATAAATATTTTATCAATGTTAACACAACATTTAAAGTATTTTATGAACCGGGTAACCTGGTAGAATTAATTAAAAAGTTTTTAGGACTAAGGCCAACCGAATTTCTTCCATCCAGATTGGACCAAAATAGACATGAAAGGATAAATAAATTCATAAAAAATTTAAAATTTAATCTAACATATCGTAATAATAGGATTATGAAAATTAAAGGATTGAGCACTTTTAAATCTTTTGAAGTTAAATTTGATTCCGAAGAATTTGGTAAACAAATAGACGTTCAAAAATATTATTATCTCAAATATAAAAAAAATTTGGAATATTCGTATCTTGTAGAAATTAAAGGTCATGATACCATTAAAGTTCCTATTGAAGTCTGTTATATTTTAGAGGTAATCTAAATATATGAACTTTATTTATATATATCTATATATCTACTTATGGACTTTTTTTTTAATTTAGGGTCAAAGATTTAAAACTTCAAACTTAAGTGGTGAACAGAGAAAAACAATGATTAAATATACGGCATTATGTCCTAGAGATAATATCAAAAGTTTGAAAGAAGGAATAAATAATGTTTTAGAATTTAAAAATGATGAAAAATTAAAAGAATTTGGCACTGTCGTTGATACAGAAATGACAATTGCTCCAGGTAGAAATTTATTATTTTTTATATATTTGATTTTGTTTAAATCTTTAATGAAAATTATGATTTGAATTTTTTTTTTATTTCAATTATTTATAAACAAATTTTTAAAGCTCGTGTTTTGTCACCACCTAGTGTTTTGTATCATCCTAATTCCAAAGCTGGCAAGTCTTTTGTTGCAGATAAAGGTAAAAATATTTTTATTAATTAATTGGGAGAACTTGGGAATTAAAAATAGAAGATTCAAAAAATTTTTTTTTGATATGAAGCAAATCAGTAATGATTTTCTAATAATAAAGGTGTTTGGAATCTTCGAAATCGGAAATATATTAAAAGTGGGACTCCCCTTAATTATTGGATTGTGATTGTATTTTCTCGATTTTCGCACAATATGCTTTATTCTCTTAAAGGTCTCATCAAAGAATTTGTTAGAATTAGTAGAGCTCAAGGGATGGTAAAAATTTTTAGAGATATATTTTTTCTTTATTTTTTATTAATTAGTATTAATAAATTTTTTTTTTTCCAAAAGGAAATCTATCAAGACAACCCCAGAATTGAATTCTGTAGAGATGAGGTTGTATCAGAAATTATTGAAGAAGAAATTAAAAAACAATATCGCAATGCCAATAAAATGTTAAAAAATGATATACAATTTATGTTTATCGTTCTTCCTGATGAAGATGAAAAACGGTATCATGCTGTTAAAAACACCGTTGACACTATTCTTGGAATACCGTCTCAATGTGTACAATATGATAAAATAAAAAAATCGTCACAGCAATATTTTGCTAATGTTTCATCAAAGGTCAATATAAGACTTGGAGGTATCAATCAATCCATTGATGGAATTAATGTACCCTTTTGGAAAAACGATCACGTCCTATTACTCGGAGCAGATGTTACGCATTTTACTGGACAAGCAGGACCTACGGGTATTAAATATTTTACACGATTTATTTCTCTTTATTTTTAAGTAATTTGCTAATTGTTTATTTTTAATAATTTATTCCTAAAGTCATGCCCTCAATTTGTGCTGTTGTTGGTTCTCTTGATAAACAAGGTGGACAGTATTTTCCCATGATAGAAAGTCAAAAAGTAGGACAAGAAAAAATCGAAAACATTAGTGGAATGGTTTATCGAATCTTGTCAGTTTATCATGAAAAAAATGGAGCCCTGCCTGATCGTATAATCATGTATCGTGATGGTGTATCCGAAAGTCAATTCAAGATGGTTTTAGAGTATGAACTCAAAAAGATCAAGGGTAATATTTACATTTATTTATGTCATTTATTTTAAAACCGATAAAAATTCCTAAATATTATATATATATAATTTTTTTAGAGGCTTGTATAAAATTAAGCGGGTCATATAAACCAAAAATCACATTTATAACAATAGGCAAAAGACATCAGACAAGACTTTATCCAAAGGAACAAATTGATACTGATAGGTAATGATTTTATTATTAATAACATATATATGATGGTGCTAATTGAGAATACTCTTTTGTGATAAACACAGCAAAGGGAATTGTGTAGTTGGAACAGTGGTTGATAGAGATATAACGCATCCTTACTTATTTGATTTTTGTAATTATTTGTTCTTTTTGCTTATTTTTAATATTTATTGATTGATTGATAAATTATTTATTTATTTATTTATTTTCTCGCTCAGTTTTGTTGTCTCACGCAACTATACAAGGAACTGCCCGGCCTGTTCATTGTATATTATTAATTTTTTTCTTGATTTTATTGTTTTTTTTTTAAAAAAAAAATTATATTTACCTTTTTTCTTAATTAAAGGTCATGTACTTTATGACCAAAATAACTTTGACGCTGATAGTATTCAAGATTTAACAAACAAACTTTCTTATAATTACCAAGTGTAGGTTTAAATTAATATTTTTTTTAATTGAAAAATAACTCAATTATTCTAACTTTCTTGCTTTAGTGCTACAAGATCTGTCTCAATACCACCGCCTACTTGTAAGTAATTAATTTTTACGCGCTTATAGATAATTAAAATAATTTATATTTATTGTTATATACACATCTAGATTATGCACATTTAGCTGCTAAAAGAGCAAGGTAAAAATTAATATATTTTGTTTAAATATTTATTTTAATTAAATTACCAAAAATTTATATATTTTTTTTTAATTCTAAAAAAGATCGCATCTAGTGAAAGACCGTCATGGAGAATTCTATTTAAGATCAGTCAATGAAAATTTATTAAAAGGTAGGGAAGAAAAGTCCATCTTTCAGTATTTTTATCAATAAAAATTTATATTAATCTATAATTTTCATTATTTATTTCAGCAAGCCCAATGTATTTTGTTTGATATTTTCATTACTGCATTCACATTAATTCATATTATATATCCAGCTAGTTGGAGTTATTATTACTATTTTCCATTTGTTCAACAAGAAATGCTGCTTTCATAAATACAATCAATAACCTGTTTTTTGAAAATTTATCATTAGTTTTAAATTTTAATAATTCAAACTACATAATAAATTCATTATTACTTACAACAATTACAGTCAAATGGACATAATGAAGTATCTATTCAAAAGAAAACCATTAATGTATATAAAAGGGATATATCTCACACACAATAGTAATTACCTTACCTCCACCATCACCAATTTTTAATTCATTTAAATCATAAACCATCAAACCATCTTCAGTCCTTTTACCTAAATATTTATTATTATATTTAAAAATTTAGGATTTTTTTATAAAAAAAAAATAAAGCCGTCAATCTTCACAACATACGATTTTTAGTTCCTCTTGAATCACTAAAACCATCATCATCATTTATATTTAATTTCCTTTTATATGATTTTGATTTGTCAGTTATTTTGATTGATTCATTATTGATTGGTTTTTGATTAGATGAAACATCAAGTTCCAGTGAATTTGTTGTCTTTTTTTTTTTTTTAATGGATGAAAATATATAATCTATTTCATCTTTATTATTTTTTTTGATGATATTTTTATTTGTATTATGATCATTATCATCAGTAGTGATTTGTTTATTCTTTTTATCGTTCGATTTATTGTTCTTTTTGGCTTTTTTTGAAGACATTTCTTCAGGAAAAAAAAATATAAAAAATGTGTACGTTACATTTCGTAGCCGATCTATCCATATAAAGATTTTTAACTATGCTATTGGAATTCAAATTTTAATAGTATATATGGCGCAGTCGAATTTCGAACATTTTTTTACACTTTCAAATTGTTTCAAGTCCCACAATCTCTTCTTCTGAACAAGCTAATAAGCTCTCCGAATAAGATCTTCACGTATATTATTGTTTATGCAGCGAATTCATTTTAGTCATGGGCATGTATTTATATTTATATTAGCTAATTGAGTAGTAATAACCACTAACTATTCAAAAATTATTTTCTACTAAAGATGCCAAATTGGAAAAATAACCAAGAAGAAAAACAGATAAAGCATATATAATGGCAAATGGTAAACGTATTTATAAGTTAAATCCTGTGGAAACTGATAATCTTGTGATTTTGATTTACGTTTAAATCTATATAGTAATAGTATAATAATATGCTTGTGCGATTATTTGTTTTTTTAAAAAAAGTCCTGACGGATATGAGAAACAATTTAGATTACATTGTCCAAGATTTAATTTTTTGATTGTTTACAAAATGACAGAGAAACGTAAAAATGACCAATACACTTATATTGTCGAGGAAAGTTTAACTGAAAATCAAGGTGTGTTATTCCACACGAATCCATTTTGGATGATTAAAAAAATAATTGGGCAATATAATGACTTTAATTAGTATAAATTTATTTTTGGGGAATAGCTTTCCTATCATAATTAAATCTTATGGAAGGTGCATCTGATTAATAAAAATCAACATTTGGTCCTTTTCTATTGAAACAGCCCCATATAAACATGGAGAATATTAGCAGATTTATTTCATTTGAATCAAGTATGAATCAAATTACAAATTGTGCTTTGATTTGATTTGAACTTTGATTTGAATCTATAAATGATTTGATTTAGTTCAAATCTAATTCAAATATATATATATATATATGAAATAATTTGAATTCTAAAAGAGTTGTCATTGGAAATAAATAGTAAAAAAATTTATCCAGGACAATAATTGCATTTGACTTTTTCAATTACAACTATGAAATGGTTCCGTACCTAAAGCTCTGAATGGTTCGGTTTCGGTTTCTACAAATTCAAACCTGGTATTCTAATTTTTTAGAATTAAATTTATTAATTTCTAATCTAATAAACTTATTATAGTAACCAATGTCCTGGTCGGATGAGTTTTTCTGGAGGAACAGACTTAATTACTCAAAGATATCGTATTTTAGAACCTGAAACAATAAGAGTTTGAATGAGTTTAAAAAGTTTGTGGAGGCAATGAATTTTATATATGAATTGAAAAAAAAAGATAGAATGTCCTATTCAAATAAGGTTTATCAAATTGTTTGTTTCATTCGTTATGAATTTGAGTATATATACATCTGTGAAGCTGAGTTACACTTCAAATCCCAAAATAGCAACGATACTCTTTGGTGTCACGGGATTATAAAATCACATGACTCAATCATTTATCGTATTCGTTATTATTATTGTTATGAATTTGAGTATTCGAAATTACATTGAAAGTTTATTCAAATAAATCTTTACTCGAATAAATGAATAAAAAAACAAATATATAAAATGAATAAAACGAATAAAACGTAATTGAGTAAACGAACAAAACGAGTAATTTAAATAATTCGTATAATCAATTTCTTTACCTGGGTCTTCTTCATTTGATGCATATTCCAAATTTGTTATCTGACTTTTGTTTTTTTAACATTTTTAGCTTTTCCCAAATGTGCAGTTTGATTATTTCGTCTTGACATTTTTTTAATCGGAAGAATGCAAATTTGTTAGTTTGCTGATTGCTTACAAAAAAATATGACGGTGATTTTCTGAACTGACTTTTATTAATTAAAAAAAAGCCTTAGTGGTTTGAAGTTGTACAATTTTTTTCAATGTCTTTAAATGACCTGCACAATAGGGGTTGATTTCTTTATGAAAACCACTTGAAGAGATTAGAATCCTATTAGCAGAATAATATCTCTTAAGAGAATTTCAGTTAATTACATTGTCACTATTCCATTCTGAAATATTTTCATCCAACTGATTAATTTTAGTCTTTTGGTTTTTGGTGAAAGATCTCCCAGCTTGATTTTTTTTTCTTTCTTCTCTTCCTTTTCTTCTAAATTTTCGATTTGTCCAAATCTCATTGAATAATGTGATTTTCACAAATTATATCTTTACAATTATCATGAGGCATTTTAAATGATAATTGATATTCTAATGAAATTCTATAAAATTTCAAAATGTTGGAATGGGCCTTAAAAGTTTTAGCATTATCCTCAATTCCAACTTTAATTTCAATACCATAACAATCAAATTTGTAAAACAAGCTTGTTAGATAATTTACGAGTTTAATAATACATTTTAGTGGGAGAGCAACATTGTTAGAGTTGACAAGATTGGCAAGAATAAAAAACTAGTTGACTTTTTGAAGGAATTTATTTTGAAAAAAATAAGTTGCTGATCAATAATCGATCATTTTTTTAAGTAATAACTAGAGCTTGAACTCATGGTTTGTAGGCATTGCTCTAGTAGGTAATACATACTTGTATATGTTCTCCTCTCGAGAGGATTTTTTGTTTCGACTTTGAATTCTGTCAGTCGTTTTAATATATATATATATATATATATATATTATTTTTTTTTTTTTTGAACACGAGATGAATGATCTAAAGGAAGAAATTGGCATTTGTCTCTGAGAAAGATATGCTATTTGTTAATAGTTGGAGATTTTTGTGTATTAATTTAATTCTTTTTATAAAATAGCCCAAATACAGTATTAGTTTTTTTTTCAAAGTCTTGCTGTATTTCAGCTAAAGTACTACAGGGTTTCTTATTAACAATTCTATTTATAATTCGTTCTTTTTCTTCATCAATTAATTTTGGACGCCCAGATCGAGGTGCAGAACTTGTTGTAGCGTGACTCTATGGCACACCAAAATATTATGGACTGTAGACTTTGGCATTCCAAGAACTTTACTAATTTCTCTCTCACTAATACCAGCTCTGAATATACCAACAATTTGACCACGGGTTTCTTCATTTAATTCTTTCCTTTTTGAGTTTAAATTATCAACCTCCATTTAAAAAAATGTGACGATCAAAAAATTTTAAAGGTTTAAAACAAACACAATAACAAAACTTCTATGTAACTCTTTATTCAGTGATGAAATCATAACAAACATAAACAAATGATTCGGGAATATACTGTAAAAATTTCACATGTAGTTAATAAATTGATAAAATTTTAATTGGATTTCAAAAAAGCAGTCCATGACTTTTGGGAGTGTGTATGTATATTGATATTATAGTGAAGTGAAATTGAAAAGGTTGCCACATCTTTTACATTGTTATTTTTATATAGTGATGGTAATTATATAGGATTCTTTATCATGATAATAAACAAATGATTAGTATACTTGTTTTGCGTGATCATTATTAGCATTAAAATAATTACGATCAAAACTCGGTCAATATACATACAAGTAATTGGCAAGAACAAACATTCTCAATTGTTTGCAACGCTATGTATCATGGAAGTTAGAAAAGGTTATACCACTCTTTCCACTTCAAAAAAAAAATAATAATAATAAAAATACAATCATTTGCACATAAAAATCACCAGCTTGCATCGTCACCTCAGAGAGTCATTTAACTTGCCAAATTCCATCATTGAATCAATTACTCCTTGGCGGCAAGCTATTGTAGAAATGCACAGGTGCTACAACCATAATAAGCTATATAATACAGTCCTTGATGGTTTATCACTAGCCGAAATGTTAAGTCTGCCTGGTAGCAATACCTTCTTTCATTTTATAAATTATTAAAGACTTTTGAGAAACAACAGGAGAGATGCTCAAGAAAGAAAACAAATAAGAAGGATGACCATGGCCTCTGCTTATTTGACCTTACACCTATCACCCAGTTTCAAAAGCAGATATAATATTTCAATTCAAAAAAATGCTATTTTTGATTTGTTTCGTTCAATTGATTTTGCTGGCTTGGGAAGGCATGGAGTGACGATGACAGAATTTGGAAATGATGCCTTAAACTGGTGAAGACTAGCATTTAATATTGATAAAATGAATATTTATTTTAATCTACAATATTTTCTTCACTTATAAAACCTAAGATAAACCCTTTCTTTTTTTTTCAAAGGTAATTACATGGATAAGTGGAGAATATTGGTCAGGTTTGACAACTTAAGATGTTATGAATAAATGCACAACTTTGTGGAATCAGTACATTAATGCTTTACGTAACATCCGTCGTGGATTACCATCATTTACAAGAGGAAACAATAACAATGATAGATATGACCCCATTACCTCGGTTGTAGAAGTCGGCTCATTCATTATGTTAGCAGGGGCTAAGAACCCCTGTTTGCAGTTCTCACAATGTTGCTGCCGTCATAAATCCGAGTTAGCTGTAAAATTAATATATTGCATTATGTAATAGGTAAATTATTTAACTAGTATTAATATTGAAAAATTTAAAAATAAAACACAATGCTAATATAGTACCCCGGATTATTATAATTGAGGTAATATCCGATTTTTTTAAAGTGGCATGATTATATTGGGGTATAGCAGAAAAATTTTACAAGTCGTATCCAAATCAGGTAAACAATTTTTATGTCATATGAAATTTGTGAGTGCTAAGTTGTAATTGATATAGAAAGTTTTGTCCTTTTTCATTTTAAGTACTAAACTATTATTATTGTTGTTTTTCAAATGTTTTTTTGAGTTTATTAAGAATTAGTGTGAAGAACATCAAACAACTAAATTAACATGATTTCTTAGTTCTTTAGATAAAAATATATTGGATAATTTTTTAATGGTTTACATATAAAGTTACATGTCTTATACAGGTAAAACTTTTAATTTTTTGTTACTAAAATGGTAAAGTTTCTAAATTTTACTAATAGCCTCAATTATAATAATCCAACACTAATTAATATTTATACTAGGGTATGGACAATAGAAAAGGTGGAATCTGCCAAAATCATGATTTTGAGCTAATAACACTTTTACATGTAATTTACCACAAAGATTAATTTTAACTTAAAAACCATATCCACTTGATAAAATTTTGAGATATTTTCTGTTAAATTTCTTTAAAAAATAGTAAATCGGCAGAGACGATAGAAACAAGGATAACTATAAACATTCCGGATTTGAATTAATAGCACTTCTATATTAAATATGCAATTCACCATGCGAAATAATTTTAGATTAGAAGCTATGTCCACTTAATAATATCTTGAGATATTTCCTGTTGGTTTAATTTTCTCAAAATCACGATTTTGCAGATTCCCCTTTTTTATTGTCCATGCCCCCCATTTATTTCTTTCGAGTGTAGGGTTTGTAGATCCTAAATTTATAATAAACTTAATTGCCAGTTTAATAAATTTTGTAAATATATCGACTCAGTCTGTATCAATAATACTTGATCAGAGTTAATCATAATGTTAGATAAAACATTACATTAATCTCTGCTTTGAAAATGAAAAAGAATTTAAAACAGAAACTCCTATCAATTGAAAACAAAACACTCATTATAATCATGAACACGTTATTAGGGTTACTATAAAATGAGACCCTTTGTTGCAGTATGCTCCCATATTTGTCACTATTTATAATCAAAAAAATCTTTTTGTATTACGTTTTTTTGCGTTGCAAACAAAATCCTTGTTGATTTTACGACTATATTTTCTTTTTTTTTTTTGATATTAAAAAATAATGATTAACTCGCCAACTTTTAGTTCTGAACAAACCACTGCCGCAATTACTACCACCGTTAACGCCAACGCCAACGCTGACACCGACGCCGCCACTACCATCAATAAAAGATATTCAGCGGTTCACAAACGTGAGCCTTCTGTTCCTCATGAGATTAAGGAAACATTAGATGCTACTGTGACAGAAACCCAAGATGGTGAACGTTGTCTAAATAACTATATTTTGAGAGAGGTTATTGGCCGAGGGGCTTATGGTACTGTAATTCAGGCTATAGAAAAAGACACTAATGCGCATTATGTATGTAAAAAAAACAAATTCACTCACTGAACCGAAAAAGGAATTCTTTCTAAATGGAACAGGATTATTTTTTTTTGAATTATTTGAATTAATAATAAATAGATCGAGATAGTTGAAATTTAATTATTATTTTATTATTATTATTTTTAACAAATATTAATTCATTATATTGTAATAGGCTATAAAAGAATTCAGTAAGGCCAGACTTCGAAAAAGAGATATGGCAAATTATTTTCGTCGTGGCGGCTTTCGAGGTGCTCGTAGGGGTAGGTTTGCCCCTAATCCCAATTTACAAGATAACTCAGATCCATTATACTTAATACGTGGGGAAGTGGCAGTCTTAAAAAAATTAAATCATCCGAATGTTGTAAAGTTGTTTGAGGTTTTAGATGATCCTGAAAATGATTCTCTATACATGGGTATGATAAACTTTAAAATAAAATAAAAAGATTTATCATTTTATCAAAAAAAAACCCCCCTTTATTTAATTTAATATAATTTTGTTTAACAGTATTCGAAATGTGTGATAATGGTAATCTTATGAATATCAGCATTAACAAGCAAGCAAAACCATTTTCCGAAGAAAAAAGTCGACTCTATTTTATAGAAATGATTCTAGGTTTTGAATATTGTAAGCAATTATCGCTTTGAATTAATTATATTATCAATCAAAAAAAAAAAAAAAAAAATCATATATATAGAGATTCTTTGCTGTAATGATTTACCAATGAATTTCGACGGTTACTTGTTGGAATCTTATTTCACTATTTAGTGCACGAAAATGACATCATCCATCGAGGTAATTTTTTGAAATTGGATCATACATATTAACATAATTAAAAATAATTATGCTCCCACACATAATTTGTTTGATTATTGATGATGTATATATAATTTATTTTATTGTTATGTGATTTTGATATTTTCAGATATCAAACCAGATAATCTTCTCTTGTCCAAAGACGATATCCTTAAAATTGTAGATTTTGGTGTATCCGAAATATTTGTTAGGGGAAATGACAAAACGACAAAATCAGCAGGAAGTCCAGCATTCATGGCACCGGTAAATTTTAATAAATATAATTTTATATATATATAATTTTTAATTGTGTTTTTTTTTAATAAAATTATTAATTAATACATCTTTTTTTTTTTTTAATAAAAAAAATCTAGGAATTATGTAAAGGTTGAGATAATTAATTAATAAATCAATTATTATTATTTTTCAATTAAAAGTATTGAAATTTTCTTTTTTCTTTTTTTTTTTTCAGCACATCACGGCGAAATATCAGGAAAGGCGGCTGATATTTGGTCAATGGGAGTAACTTTATATTGTCTAGTGTTTGGCCGTTTACCATTCGAAAAAGACAATATTTTAGAACTTTATGAGTCTATAAAAAATGACGAGTATGTTATTTCATAAGTGTTTAACATTAATATTTTTTTTAATTACCAATAACAATTTTTTTTCATTTGAAAAATTTTGAAGTGTTCAAATCTCTGGAAATATAAATCCTGATCTAGCTGATATTCTTTACAAGTTGCTTGAAAAAGATCCAGACAAAAGAATTACCATGCACGAACTTAGGGTATATTTTTTCTTTAAGTCAAATTTTTTTTATGTATTGTATATATTTTTTTCTTAATAAAATTTTTTTAGGAACATCCTTGGGTTACTCTTCGTGGAGCTGAGCCTCTTATTTCCACTGCAGAAAATTGTACTGAAATGGTTACGGAAATTACTGATGATGAATTAAGTTCTGCTATTAAACCTATTAGTATTAGGAGTTTAGTAACTTTGGTATGAAAATTTTTTTTATATGATTTTTAAATTGCCTCAATTACAAAAGATTCAACACCTTGCGATTCCCTTTTTTAATGATCTTCTTAAACATATCTTTTGTTAGATAACTGCTGTTAAGAAGTTTAAACGCTTGTCGCGGACTCAGAATAATTACCCAGAGGCATTAATACGAATAAATGACGATAAAGAAGCTGTAGCTGCAGAATAAGCCAAATATTTAGTAATCATTTTTTTTTTTCTTAATTGTAATTTTTGGTAGATAATATTATCTTTATTATATAATAATTTTATTTATTAGTTTTTTTTATTTAATAAATTATATTTACTTCCAATAACTTTTTCAGCATCACTAAGATTAATTCAATAATAAAATACTATCAGGGCTTTTTTAATTTTGGTTTGGCTTTTTTTTAAACCCCCTCCCCCAACATTTAAAATCTTCATACATACATATATATGTATTCGTTGCAATAAGCTATCATTTAATTTTTTTTTCTACTAATTGCAATTTTTGTATAAATATTTCGTTTATTAAAAAAAAAATAATTACTATAAATTATTAATATTTTTATAAAAATATTGTCGAAAGAAATATTATGTATGATATTAAAAAAGCAAACCTTAATAATTTATGATAATTCCAGGTAACATTAACCATATGAATAATAATTAATTTAGTTAATTAAATAGATAATTATTATCTTGAGACTGTAGTCATCGTTGTCATAATTATCAACTCTTACGAAGTTCCACCAGAAGCAATAAATTTTTTCAATTCTTCAATATTTTTTTCATAATCAACAGTACGAACATGACTTTTTTGTACCAATTCCAATAGAAATTTAACTCGTTGATCAACAATAGCAGGAACGCGACCACTACCAAACAACCATTTTCCTTCTTGTTTAACAAATAATTGTCCCAAACTTTCAAGCTCTTGTTCATATTTTTTAATTTTATCTGTTTCAAATTCAAAAAGATATTTATATGTTTGAAGTTCCATTGTTGCTGCAAATAATTTGTCGGATATGATTTGTTGAAAAGCTACTTGATAAAGTGGCTTTCCTAATCTTATAAAATCAGGTCGTCCTATATATATCAACATTATCATTATTAAAAGTGTGGAGGTGACATCGTCAATGTTATTAATTATGGAAGAAATCATTATTAATATTGTTATTATGTGGAATATAAATATTTCACAATTTAAAAAAATAAATGTCACCATCTAATTGTGAAACTGAAATCAATTCGGCTTGTTCCATAGCCCTTATTGAGGTATCATCACCTTTAAATATTGATGAATATTTAATTTTATCATATGGTACCTAAAAAAAATATTTAAAAATTAAAAATCGATGATGCACAATTATTGATTATTAAAAAAAAATTTATTAAAAAAAAGTACAGGTTCTCCTTTAGCCAAATCTTTCACTATTTTCCAAAATTGTATACCACTCCAAGGAATAGTTTTGGCATCTTCAACATCATCACCAAAGCCAAGTTTACGAATTTCAATAACAGATTTGAATATAAGTTCATTCAATGCCTCTATATTATATATATGTGTGTGTGTATGGTATTGTTTAGGTAAATAAAAAACAACATTCGATAAAAATAACATTATTATCGCTTATTTAAAATATATATCATTTACCTTGAGAACTTTGACCACTACTTATTTTATTAATAAATAATTTCAAATCAGTTAAACGGCCACCAAGTGCATTTACAGCCCCATCAAGTCCTTTATCTTCTTTATCAGGTACGTGACTCTTTACCAAACTAATGGCTCGTTCATATGGCGCATCAGAAAGATTAACAAAATTAAATGTTTTGTTTGGAAGTGCTTATTGAATATATATATAGTGATTATTTTAACTCAAATGCATGAAAATATAATGATGATGACAACAACTACAACAATGATGATGCAATAAATACCTTTATTTAAATGCTTTACAATACCAACGTTTGAACCAACGAAAACCACATGAGCAACTCTATTTTCTACAAGGATTGCAGCTAATTTAGCCAAATGATCCCAAAGTTCATGATTTTCCTTATCTTTAATCATATAATCATCAATCACAACAATTGGAATATCGGCTGGATCATAAGATTCAACAATTGATGTCGTGATAAAATCATGCTTCTTTTTTTGATTATAACGAGTACTTTTCCTTAACTTTTCAGGTGCTACATCATGTAAAGCAATTGCCAATGCATCGAGAATCTTTTTGATTTCAGAATCAGTCGTTGAAGAAAATCCTGAAATATTGAATTAATAATTATGATGATAATAAGAAATGTATACAATCATATAATATATTTAAATATAGTTATATAAATTACCGGTCTTTTGACCAATCGTTGCACTTGCCAATCCATCAATTAAATTTGACATGGATACCAATGTACTAAATACAGGGAAATAACCAACTTGTTTTGCCAATTTTAATACAAGTTCACTTTCATCACGAGAATTTTGAATTTCATCACACTTTATAAAAAGTTTATTTCTAGAAAAAATTTTTTTTAATATTTAATTTAAATGTTTTCAAAAAAAATTTTAAAAGAAAAAAAATTTTTAAAATATTACCTTTTATTTTTTAAAGCTTTATCAATGAATCCACTTTTTCCACTACCAGTAGGACCCAATAATACAATAAATGTTTCTATTTAACAAAAATATATATTTATATATTTATAGAAGGGAGAAAAAAATATCAATAAATCAAATAAATGAAAATAAACCTGGTGGTTCTTTCAACCAAATATTTAATTTTATTTCTTCTTGTTCTCTTTCAACCCAATTACTAAGATAAGATAATGAATTATCTTCATTTTTATTACGGTAAGTTAATAATCTGTCAATAGTTTCACGTCTAAGCCATTGATAAATACGATATTCTTGAGGGTTGAATCGTTGTGTGATTTTTGAAGTTATAAAAAAGGTTCGAATCGGATCAAAGCTATTTTGTTTTAAAAAATATTTAAAAAATTAAAATATGCACATAATTTGATCGATAATAATTTATGAGTTTATAGATTACATTGTGTAAGTAATACCAGCAATAGCAGCTGCTATTAATGGTATCTAAAAAGACAAAATAAATAAAATATTAAAAAAAGACAAAAAGAATGAGGATTGTACTCATTAATTAAAGATTAATGAAAAAAATTTTTTTTACCGAAGTTCTTGGATGTGCAATCATCCAGCTATATATCATATTTGATTTCTATAAAGATTAAAATTTTCTTAATTTAATATCTTCTTTTTCCTCATTAATCAGCACCCATTCCTTTTCTCTATTAATAAATAATACTTACCAATGTTTTATCATAGACAATATTTAGTCTCGTGCCATCTGTAATTAAACCGTGAACACAATTTCTAGCGCTTGTAGCAGATCTCATTTTGGAGAATTGTATCAAAGCAAATCGAGGGGCATCTTTTGAAGATGGTTGCGGTAGGATTATATCACGAATTAATCCATATGGTCGAAATATTTGATACAAAGTTTCCTATGTATATATGATTTTTTTGAAAGAAGAGGAATAAAATTATGATTCATTTTTACGAAATAATCAATAAATTATTACTATTATACAATATATATATTTATGATGTGTATACGTACGATCGAAACATCTGGTCCTTGAAATTCAACATGAAGTCGACTATTAATATATTCAAGTTATATTCCAATATTTATTTTATATATCAAAATGGATAAATATTCTAGTAAATAAATTATAAATACCTTGCGGGAAATCTATTGGCCAAATCTTCAATAAAAGGTTCGCCCTGAAAGTATACACAAATAATATATTAATAAGCATGTATTTATTGGAAGTAAAAAAATCAAAATCAAAAAAATACTAACTTTAACCATATAAACTTCGAGCGGTTTAAGATTAAACCACGGTATAATGTTTTTAGCCGATATATAAGCTTCAACATTCTTATAGATTTCATTTAATGCTTCGGATTTTCGTGCAGGATCAACCGAAAATGTAAAATTAACCAACATTCCGCCTTCTCTTTTTCTAAATCAATCAATTAAATTCATTTAAAAATTTACAAGAGTTTTTTAAAAATAGATTAAATATTATTATAGGATCGAAATAATTAATATTTACCTAGGTTCCACACCCTCAATCTTAAAATTAAATGGCATTTCAGTTTCTTGTGGAATCCATTTTCCAGATTTAACTTTGGTTTCAAGCCTTTTTTTACTTGTTCTGACTATATAATGTCTAAGGTCAAATATTCCAATTCTAAGTGGATACACATTATCATAATATAAGCTACTATGTTGCGATGCCTCTGACTCTGACTGGAAAAGTCATATAATAGTTGTTTTTAATCATTAATTAAAGAATTAGTTGATTGAATGTTATTCAAGTAAAAAAATACATACAATAACATCTTCAGTATTGGCAGAAGCATCACTGAAAGTGAAAAGAGCTGCTTGATGTACTCTTTTCAGTGGACGTGAATTGTGTGAAAATTGATTGTAATAATTAAATTTTACAAAATTTTTGTAAGTAAATCGACTCTTTAGTATTTGATTTATCATATTAATAATTTTAATTGACGAATTTTATCTTTTATCAAAGATAAAAAATTCATGGGACAACAAAAATTCCGGGGGTTAATTAAAATAGATTGAAAAAAATCCAAGATGCCAGTAATAGTAATACTAACAATAAATTTCACATCTTGTGTAAAACAAAAAAATAATAACTTTTGGAGATGCTTATCAACGCGTTATTATTTTATTTTATTTTATTTTTTTTAAACGATGCAGTACTGTTACACTGTTTATTAGAAAAATATATATTAATATATATATTATTATTGTTATTATACACTTCCTTCTTCTATTCGAGAAAAAATATGAGCTCTTTGATTTCATAGTTTTCAATCTTTTTTCAATTCAATGGCTAACTCGGTGTCTTCAAAGTAATCTATAATAATTCTCTCAACTACTTTTTCTAGATTTTCTTTACCTTCCCATTTATAGTCATGCATAAGGCTATGTTGAAAACAAACAGTCATAAATTGATTTCTTAATGGTTTGCTAATCAATTTTCTTAGATCTTGTTCAATATTCTTGCTACAGTGAGGAAATCTTTCCCTCATATTTATCAATATTTGGTGAATTCTTTCTGTTGCTTCTTGCTTAAATTCTGCTTCCTCTTGCTCACTTACCTCTGTATTTTTATAATCATTGAGTTCTTTGTCTTTATCAACTAATTTCTTTTCTAAATCAGCAATGTGATTTGATAGTTCTTTGTTCCTTTCTTGGATTTCTGTTAAAATATTTGTCATGACTTTCTTTTTATTACCTTTTTTTTTGTTTATTTTTTTAATATACTTATATAGTTTTATGAGGGTACATTAAGTATATAAATTATTTTAGTACTTTTTTACTTTTAAAAGTGTAAAAAGATTAAACTTATTAAACTTAATGACAGTAAAGGACAAATTAATGAGTGACAAAATCATGAAAGTGATTTTACATGTATTCTAAATATTTTATTTGTTGGCAGTATAGGATGGTCTTGGGCAAGTAATATCTTTATATTCATCTTTCACAAATGGACGAATATTATGATAAAGATATTCTTGTCTTTTGTAATCCAAGGGAGGTGGTGTTAACATTAAGATAGATAAAGCTCTAATTTCTTCAAAAATATCTGTTCTCCTAATTTTTAATAAATTAAATTCAACAAAAGAACCATTAGCAACTTCTTGAACTTTCACTGTACCAAGATTTGATGCTTCAAAAGGAAATGTTGATATTTTTGTAGGCCATTTAATCTTTTAAAATAAATTCCTAAAATAGATTTGATATCTAAGTATTGAAAACCTTTTCCTGCCTTGTAGTATTGAGCTTTATTCAATCCTGCTGGACTAGATCTTTTCACTACATCAACTACATGGTCCAGACAATCTACCCTTGTCTTTCTATAAAGTTTTTTAATCATCCCAAAACTACCATCACATTTGAATTTGGTATGTCCAGGAGTCATGAAATTTAGTTCAATGTTTTCATAATAACCACAAATTACTAAATATAAATAAAATCAAATGGTTGCATTATTTTTATTTTGTCCTCCATGAACATTCTGTACATATTCCATGTTTTCAAAAAAGTTATGTGATACAGAATGTGCACAGGTTTTGTACAGGTCCAAGTATAATTAAATGAATCATGATAAGTCAGTCTCACCTGATATTTCATTATGTGAAGGGTCATCATTACTATTTTAGTAATGTGTAATCTAATAATTTTTTATTTGTAATATTTCGTCATTAGCAAAATGATTATTTGTAATCTGTTGTAAGAGAACTTTTTACACTTTAATGATTTATCATGAATAATGCATTAATATTTTATTATCTCAGCAGTTGTATCATCAATTGTATCATTCATTTATCATAAATAATGCATTAATATATTATTATCTCATCAGTTATATCATCAAGTAATTTACAGAACATTCTTGTCTAATCATAAACAATACATCTGTATTTATTTATCTCATTTTTATATCATCATTTTTATATCATCACTTATATCATTGATTATCAGAGGATGTGTGCATATCGCCAGAAGTTGGAGAATTTTTGGTAATGATGGTATAATTGATTTCTATGTAGAGGAATACCAATGGGGGATAGAATATTAATTGATGGAATTGGAATGAAAGAACACTATGAGCGATTTCAGACTGGTAAATTTAAGAATATAAATTTTATTTTATTTTTTTTTAGATACATGGGTTGTACAAAAAGTTTTGAGAAAATACATGTAACTTGATGATCTTTTCTTTAATAAAAGTAAAAATGTGAATAAAAAACCCTTAAGCCACAATCTTTTAAATAAAAAAAAAATCATTCAAATTGAGTCATTTGTTGTTAAGTTATAAATTTTTAAAGTTTGCCAGTAGAAACAAATGGAAAATTCAAAACGTGAATACCAAAGATACTACATTTTTGTTAGCTGGAAAAATAGCAAACCAGCTAAACAAATTCAACAGGAATTACAGGTTGCTGAGGGGTCTAATGCAGTATCTTTAGCATCTATTTATCATTGGATTGAAGCATTTGAAAGTGGAAAAAAAATAATGTTGAAGATGATTCACGTTCTGGACATTCTCACCCTTGAAAACATTGCAAAAGTTGATGATTTAATTAGTGATGATCCTCATATGACAATTACAGCTATTGAAGAGAATGTAGGTATTTCTAGAGGAAGTATTCAAAGTATTTTACATAATGAATTAAAAGTTCATAAAATTTGTAAAAAATGGGTCCTGCATGTTTTAACTGTTGAAAATAAAAAAAATTGGGTTGAAATTTCTAAGCAATTGTTAGGAATCCTTGATAATGGACTTAATAATATTATCACAGGCGATGAAACTTGGTTTCATTTTTTTACTGTACCAAGTAAAGAATCAAATAAAACATGGGTTAAAAGTGGGGAAAATCA